AGTATTTCACATATATGATAAAGGCCTAATAGGGAAAACATTTTTGGAAGAATTTGACACATTGGATTTCAATTAGTAAAAAGTCGTTTCTCTGCAGAAGTGACGCCATTTAACGCGTTATGTGGACCCAAGGAGCAAATTTGCATAAAACTACATAGCAGAACATTTTATTTTAAGAGATTATTCTTTTAAAGAAGCTCTTTCGCATCTTTAAAAAGAATAAAAATACAAATTCTTACCTTTTTATTTTAATTTTTTCCTAAAACTCCCATAGAAGATTTCTGATATATTTTCTATTATGTATAAAACGTAATCTTGCACTTTTGTGGTGCTGGTGTAAAATAATCAACGGTTATCATGTTGGTTGTGGCCATAAACGCAGCACAATAAAAATGGCTTATGATCTGAACACATCCGAAGTGGAATAAACTCAATGGAGGATGTGCGTAATGAGCATCAAACATTCCTTTTTTTAATACCCCCCCTCTCCCTTATAACCCTAAGATAAGGTTAGTTTATAATGAAGCTTTTTATACCAAACTGTTCTTTTCAGTAAGCGCAGGTGTACAGTTGGGGGTGGGGGGGGGGGGGGGGGGGGTGGAAAGGGGTGGGGGGAGTGGAGGGAAGCTTGAGGAGTCTCACGCCTAGGTGCGAGCAGATTATTCAAATAGGGCCCAAGGCGTAGAAGTAGGGATTGGAGGCTTGCCTGGCGCACAGAGCTTATATCACAGTGCTAACAGACAGCGCGGAGCGTCATTTGGACTCCAGCCTCTGACGGGCGCATCACGGCTGGCTCCGCAGGACGCACATGCACCAAGTCCTTGACGGAGGGACGGACCCCGACCAGAACACATTAACTGGTCCCCTGTCACTTCCTATCAGAGAGACTTTTGGCTTTTTCCTCTGCTGGAAGACGCTTCGTAGAAGTCCTCCATGATGCTTGGAGCTGTTAAAATGGAAGGACACGAACATACCGACTGGAGCGCCTACTACGGAGAGCCTGAGGTGGGTACCTTAAATATATATATATTTTCCCGCTCTAAAGCCGATCCCATTTTATACAACTCAATATTAGCCCTGAGATAATATTAACTTTGTGATCAAATATTGACTTGAGGCGCCTCCAAATCCTCCCCCATCTCCACGCAGCGCGCTATCCTAACAAACTTGCCTGACATGTAATGGGGGAGGAAACTTTTCACTCAAATATTAAAACATTATTATTATCATCCTTTTTTTTCTTTAGTCATCTTTGCTCTTAATAAACACTTTGTGATTAAGGGTTAGGGAACTGGTTCGCATATAGTGCGCTTGTGTTGCAGACGCACGGCTGTTTCCAAAGCCTTTACGCATTTTAAAAGCATTGCTTGTTTCGTTTAATTTCTTATATTTATGCTGATAAATAATTCTTAATTTTATGTTGAACAATAATAATTAATTAATATCAACACAGTTAATTCATATTATTAGATATATTTATTTATTGTATTTATTTAAATGAGGTTTTGTGTGTTGGAATTATTGTTGATGCTGTTTTTTCCTGACTGTGCCAAACTCACTGATGCCTCTCTACCCCCCCCACCCCCCCAGTGTTACACCTCGGTTGGCAACATGAACACCGGCCTGGGAATGAACTCCATGAATACCTACATGAGCATGTCCGGCATGAGCTCCACAGCCAACATGACGGCCAACACCATGAACATGTCCTACGTCAACACCGGCATGAGCCCCTCCATGACGGGCATGTCGCCGGGGACTGGAGCGATGAACGGCATGGGCGCGGGCATGACAGCCATGAGCGCAGCGCTGAGCCCCAGCATGAGCCCCATGACCGCGCAGCCCGCCTCCATGAACGCCCTCACGTCTTACACCAACATGAACGCCATGAGCCCCATTTACGGACAGTCCAACATCAACAGATCCAGAGACCCCAAAACTTATCGCAGGAGCTACACCCACGCCAAGCCCCCCTATTCCTACATCTCCCTGATCACCATGGCCATCCAGCAGTCTCCCAGTAAGATGCTGACGCTGGCAGAGATCTACCAGTGGATAATGGACCTGTTCCCCTTTTACCGACAGAACCAGCAGCGCTGGCAGAACTCCATCCGCCACTCGCTCTCATTTAATGACTGTTTCCTTAAAGTGCCCAGGTCGCCCGATAAACCCGGGAAAGGTTCGTTTTGGACTCTCCACCCGGACTCCGGAAACATGTTCGAGAACGGCTGCTACCTGAGGAGGCAGAAGCGCTTCAAGTGCGAGAAGAAGATGTCGCTGAAAGACGGCGGGCGAAAAGCGGGCGACGGCGGCTCGTCCAACAGCAGCTCGGAGAGCTGCAACGGGAACGAGTCGCCGCACTCCAACTCCTCCTCCGGCGACCACAAAAGGTCCCTGTCGGACATGAAGGCGGGACAGGCCCTGAGCCCGGAGCACGTCGCCGCAGCGGCGGCCGCGGCGTCGCCGGTGGCGCAGGGGCAGCACCTCATGTCTCAGCATCACTTGGCCCACGAAGCCCATTTAAAGCCGGAGCACCACTACTCGTTCAACCATCCGTTCTCCATCAATAACCTCATGTCCTCAGAGCAGCAGCATCACCACAAAATGGACCTGAAAACGTACGAACAGGTGATGCATTACTCCGGATACGGCTCCCCGATGGCCGGGGCGCTTTCTATGGGCTCCATGGCGGGGAAAGCCGGCCTGGATTCAGCGTCTATACCAGACACATCCTACTACCAGGGGGTCTATTCCAGGCCCATCATGAACTCCTCATAGACCCCGAGGACAATCTACACCTTAGATTTGTATATTTGTAAAAAACAAAAACCGAAAAAATATAGACTTTGTGTACATTATGTATTTCGGATATTTTTGACGTTTACCACCGTTTTAGTTGTCAAGTTTGTTAGTAGCCTGATTGCCTATTTTTGAAGGAGAGGATGGGGGAGATAAAAAAAAAAAAAAATGTTGAAAATGTGACGAAATCTGTTCGGCTTCTGGACTGGACCCCAAAGATGAAACAACAAAACAAGTTGCTGTAAGATACCTGACACCCGCTAATCGGGATTCCTAAATGAACTTAAATGCATCACATTCACATCAATCGTTTGTGTAATTCCTATTTATGGCTTGTATATGTGTATTCTTGTAGTGACAAGAACAGAATCTATATTAAAGTGTTATTGGTTTTGTTTTCTGAACATTGTGTATTATTATTATTATTATTATTATTATTATTATTATTATTAGGTCTATTATTATTATTATTATGTTGCCACAGGAGTTCAAAATTGAAAATACAAACACCTGTTTCTTTAGATGAAAATTGTTCCTTTATAAATAATTCTTCAGAAACAGAAACATAAGAAAACAACAATAGGAAAAAAATGCAGATAATTAACATGTTTTATGTATGTATACGTGTATATCTATATATAGATATTTCTAGATATGTAATCATACATTAAGATAATTTTTGGAAAAACTAAACTACAATTAAAACATAGCAGATTAGGTGTTTTAGGGTAAAAATAGGTTGAAACTGAAGAAATATTTATTCTATCATGCGCGCTAACCAGTGCTCCACCTGCACGCCCCAGGATTTATTTATTCTTTACATTTTTGGAAAGTAAAATAATTTTTTTTACTACCTAGAAAATAAAAATACCAATTTTTTTATTATCATCTCCGTTTTAATTCACTTTAATCTTAAAATTGAAATACATAGCAGAAAAAATAATTACATTATATAGCATAAAACATCCGCCAAATAAGATGCGCTACACACAGCGGGAAAAAAAGTCCTGTCTATGCATCCATTAAAGGTATTCTAAATTGTGGAATATGTTTGTCACCACAGTGCTCTTCTAATAAGGCCCATAATTTCAGTTGGGGATTAATAGCTTTGCAGGATAAAACCGAGACAATGCTCACAAATTGTCTCCCAGGAAATGCAAACAAAACAAATTAATCCCAAACAGAAATTCAGATACTCATGCATCAATTAGGACTTACCTTTAGACTAATGTAGAATATTCATATTATTATTTTTTTAATGTGTGGAAAAAAAGTTGCAAAAACCATAAAGGTATTAGATCTTATGATGACAGAAAAGAAACTTTTTTTTTCAATGCAAGCCCATAATAATCATGTCACACATTTCCAAAACCAAATGAACTGGTGCGCTATAAGGATACCAAATCAAACAATAAAATTCCCTCGCTTACAGTGTGTCAATCAAACACAATACAGGCCTGTCAATCTCCCTCTCCAACATGTCTTCCCTCCCTGTATCAGCACAGTCACACACACACACCGCAAAGTTTAGATGAGTGAATCAGATTAAGTGTCATTGTCAGATGGAACAACCTCCCGCAGTGCAGGAGAATAGCTGCAGCAGAGGAGGCCTGATTTGGGGAACTGAGCTCCCTCAGTGATGCTCTAACTTCTTTCCTCACAATCTGTGTCTCCATTGTCTACTCCCTGTTTTTAAAGAAGGGTGACCCTCCCTTCTTGTTAGATAAGGCAGACTAGTTGTTGTTCAGATGAATCCCCCCCCCCACCAGCCGCACCACAACCCGTCCCACCTTCACTCACTCAACTCCAAGGCCGGGGACGGTTTCTGCTCCCTTTATAAGCCCAAATGTCACCCTTTGGAACTTCTGAACACGTAGGGGCCAAAAGTGTGCGTTTATTCTCCAGACCCTCTTTGCAGATCACACTTTAAACAGCGTGATCTGCGAATAAACAATGCCGGTAAACAATGGAGTGGAGGCTATGCCCGCATATAGGAAGAGTACACACACACATGCACGCGCGCAAAAACCAAATTGCACAAGTGTAAACTTTGAATAGGACGCTCACGGCTCTGTAAATTTACACAGACATTAAATTTCGTTCTATTCATTTTAGACATATAATGCTAAGCTGATTCTTTTTTATAGCGTACTGATCGATATCTCTGTAAAATAATCATTTTTTTTTAACTAGCGTGGCAGTGAAATCTTTGCTTTGTAGCTAAAGTCAACAGTGACAGAGTTTGAGCTCAAATAAATGCTGTGATGTCTGGAGCCCTTTGCAGAAGGCAGAAGGCAAGCTTCTACAATGGGCTTCTGCAGGGCTTGCCAACAAGCAGCGGCTATTTTTCACAGGTAGGAGCTTTTATTCTCCATAACATATTAGTTTTTTAGCTTTGATTCTCATACTAGAAAAGTTAAATAAATCTATGACAACTCATGTCAGTGCATGGAAGGGGGGAGCCTATATGATAACCCGAATTCATGGGAAAAAAAAAAAAAAAGATCAATTGATTTTCACAACTGGGTGGTGCAAAGTTGATCAGATCTGTGAGTTTCTGCTGCAAGCCGAAAGAAGAGATGTCACTGTGCTAAAAAAAAAAACAAAAGAAAAAGAAAAGAAACAATAACATCAAAATAACTTTTAATATAAAATAGCTTCTCTTTTCCCCCCTACATGTAAATTCGTTAGGATTATTTGTAGATTTCCCTTCTTTCCAGTTGTGTTTTCCAAACGGTCAAAAGCATTCAGTGCTCACCTTTAAAACAACACCGTGTCTTTTTTTTTTTTTTTTTAACTAGACAGGATAAATGAGTTGAAGAAGTCTGCACATGTTCGGGAACATGATGTGGACGTGCAGTGGACTATTTTTGCAGTGTCTGATTAATATCATGTTCACATGCTTTCGCACATTTCTGAAAAAGAGAAGCTTTCTGCTCTGGGAGAACTGCCGTCTGTAAAACTGCGCTTCTTTGATCAGATTATACTGTAAAGATTTTTGTTATAATGTCATATTTCAATCAGCAAAAAGAAAGATAAAAAAATGCATATAAATATCTTCCAAAATTATAACTACAGACCCAACTTAATAGCGTGTAATAATAATGTAATAATCAAATCATATCCAAAACAATAACAACAACAATAGTAATAATAATAATAATAATAATAATAATAATAATAATAATAATAATAATAATAATAATAATAATAATAATAATAATAAGTGCTCTTCTATAACCTCTTATATTAAACGCCAGCTTCTCATCGCGGGTTTTAGGATCCTTTGAAGGGTGGGATAACCCTGATCAAGAGCCCTTTCCAGGGCATTCTGGGTCCAGGAATGGTCTTTTGGATCTATAAATTCAAAGGTAACAATTCCTGCTCTAAAAGGAACAAAACATGCAAAGAGGACGATACATTTTTAATATTGTTTTTCGACATATTCTAACTTTTTTCCAACCCTTTAAAAACCAGGGATGATGCCTCTTGAGCACCATCACAGTCTTCCGCATGGGTTGTTATAGCAACAAAAACAAGATGATGGCCGGGCTTGTTACTTTTTTTATTTTTATTTTTTTGTGTGTGGGTGTTTAACCCGACTTCTTTACAGTTCTTACTCTTAAATTGACATTTTTTCTTATTTAGGCGCATGCAAATCAGACCGCCTGCTCACTCGGATGCAGTAATACTCCGAAAAGCATCTTTCACGACCGTTTAGTTTTGCCTGCCGAAGGGTGCATTTGCATTTGCATCATTTGATAAAGTCTGAATAAGTTGGCGTTTAACGGGGATTATAAACACACAGGCCTATTTCTTATAATCACGGTTAAAGATTTTAAGATAAACTATCTGTGTCGCAACAATGGTCGACAATTACCCTTTTTCTTCATGTCTTTTAATTGCCTCTAATTGCCTCAGTCTTCCAAAGTGAGACATTTTAATGCCTACAGGCGAGCTTGGGCCTCTACGATCTAAAATGACTCACATCATAAGCCGAATATGAGCATCCACCCATGGGCGTCAGCTCTAACGGGGCTCCCTCACAAGCCTATGCAGGGGGGGAAATTACAACTATATAAAGTAGCTACTTTATTATATTTTGCAATAATGCATCTGTGGTTTAGCAATCTACACTGATCTGATAAAAGGTAATTTTAACAGAAAACGGTGTGGCTTATGTTTCCGGTGGTTTTATTAGAATAGGTATGTCAGAGGGTCGCATGATGGCATCAATCCTGCGCAGAATAGGAAGCATTGGCGCACCTATGGGCTGCATGCGCGCTGAAGCCCGCGGACTGGAACACCCAAGTAGATCTGTCTCCACGGAGACGGCGGGACACCGGTCCAACAAGCTGTAATTCTGTCTCAGCCTTTTGCAGGGGAGGGACCGTCCACACTAGCCCGACTTAACTCCTCTTTCACCAGAAATACTCCTAATCCCATATCTTAGCAGGGCAAACTGTCGTCCCTCAGTATATTAAAGGGACCACAAAGTCAGAACTCCAAGCCACCCATGGTTTCACAGCAGGGCGGCACGAACCGGTCCGACACTCCATCCACCTTACACATTTCTCTTTTTTCTTTTCATTTAGAGGAAAACATATAAAAAATGTCATTATTGTGGAACAAGCATATAATACCAAGAAACAATATGTGTTAAATTTCACATAGTCTATTTGAGATGGAAATGTTAATTAAATACAATTAATTAATTAAACGTTTTTTCATAATTATAAAGCTACTTTGTTTTTATATATATATATATATATATATATATATATATATATATATATATATATATATATATATATATATATATATATATATATATATAAAACAAAGTAGCTTTGCTTTTATAAATCTTAAAGCTAGATATCTATGCACTTGTATAACAGACAAGCTATGCTGCATTTTGGATTTCTTAAAAAAGCTGTTTATGCGTACATTTAGATAACCTAACACTCATAAAAATTTTCCTGGAATCGCACTCTCTTAATAAATACACTAATAAAACAATAAATAAAATCAGACAAGTGAACTAGTTTATTTTGGGTTTTTCATATAAATCTTTTTTTAGTTTTCTCACAGGTTTCTTGAAATTGGTGTCTTTAGAAAATATTTTCATTTAAGGAAACATTCAAATTGAGTGATTTCATTAACTCCTAGATTATATTTAGACATTTATATATACAGCAAAAAAAATTACCTTTAATAGTTTATCTTCTGTATGATATCCTCTTGTCTACCTTTATTTATTTAGTGTATTTTTTTTTTTATAATTTATTTTCTACTTGCAATTAGGTCATCACTGTTTATAATAATTTTTAGATTAAAGTCTGAAGCCCTCTCCACAAAACTTCTACAATTTTTTAAACAAAATCCATATTTAAGCTTTTTTTTTAAAAGAATAAAATAAAAAACTTTTAACTCATAGCTTTATAGTTTAATTTTTTTATTACCAGCTGGACATTTTTTGTCTATTTAAGATTCTGCTTTTGATTTGATTTAGTGACAGAAATAAAGGAAATGGATGGCCCGATAGGCAGGGTAAGAATGCGGATGCTAACTGTGATATGTCGGCGCTCAGTTCTGACAGGACTCTGTGACATTCCAGTGCAGGACTCCTTCAAGTCCTGTGAGAGAGAGAGAGAGAGAGAAAAAAAGAAAGATCCATCAACAATGCCCATTGAGTACTGTGAGGCAACAGCTGTTGGGATATGCAGTGACCTAAAGGCAATCCATTCAGGCCTGGAAGGGGTGCCTCTCTCTACCCTACTGCTTTTATACTTCTGGAAGTGGATGGATGGTCAGTGTTTATTCTCATCATGCAAACTGAAAAGCGACAGTCTCAAAGAAGCCAGTGAATATCAATCGTTGTTAACCAGATTTCAACTTTTGAATTGGAGCATTCTATATGGAGATGAAACTGAGACACCGTCAAAGCTTTTGTTTCGAAGGAGCTCTAGGTGAGGCCCAAAAGGGAGGGTGAGCTTCCCAAGGCCTAAAGCATTGTAAAAAAAAAAAGGGAAAAAAACTCTAGCCAAGATAAAAGTGTGATCATCCAGGCAGAAAAATACTATATATTCGATGGAGATTAATATGAAGCCTGGTATCAGCTGGAAGCATTTCTGTTCACTCGTGCTTCTAACCCCTCTTTGATAATTCCACAGGCATTTCCCTTTGGGCCTCACGCCTGTCTTTGAGATCAAACCTCGCTGGCAGAGTCACCATAAAATGATATGTCAGTCAGGAGCGGTAAAAGGATGCCTGCTAGACTGTGATTGATCTGCCCTGGTTTTCTTTATTCCCCTCGAGACTCGATACATCCAGGTTTCAGAAGCAGTTGATGAATAGCACCACACATATATGCCTTTCTCTGAGCCATTTCCACCTGGAGTGGCACATTTAGCAGCACATGGTCATAACATGCATGCCAAGTTGCTGCAATATTCTCTCACTTCCCCCCCCCCGAGCTCCTGTTTCAGGAAGTGAAAGCACAGCTTTGCCAACCAATCACATCGAAGGACATCCAACTCATTAAAAGTTAATGAAACCTATAAACGTAGTGCGCCAGCGATTCATTTAAACCCCCAATCCAATCTCCTCTCTCTGCAAAGGCAAACAAGCCTGTGCGCCCCCTGTGCTGTCCTCAGAATAACAAACTATGGAATATTTTGTCCTGCATATGTTCACTCATGCAGACATGTGCACATTGATAGGCTATTTTACAATGGGACTTGTTCAATTTAGAAGTCAGTTAGGGCGGTGTGCTGCTAAGGGAAACTTCGTTAATCTGCTTTGGAGTTGAATTTAATGCATTGGCCTTACACAGCACTGCTTGTAAGAAACTGCGGCAACGGATATGCCATTTCGACATTCATGAGAATCACTGACATTCAAATAATGTGCCTGTTTTAATACCATACATGAGTGAAAACCAGATCTGGGTGAAAAAAGCTGTTTATACATCCTCCCATTCATGCAAGGGTCTTGATCCATGCAGTAAGACAAGGGCAAGGCCCTCTGTTCACACACAGCATCATCTATTTCATTCCGCTTCACCTGATGACAAGAGCTCCTCTTAATATGATAAAAAGCCATCAACAGCAATAAATTTCCACTTTTCTGGTGGCAAAATTTAGAAAAAAACAACCCTAATTGTCTTTCAGAGCTCTATTTCACACAGCTTTGTAGTGCCTCCCTTGGGGGATTCAAATTAAATTCACTCCATGTATGTAGCCACTGTCAGCTCGCTAATGAATTCCCATACCCTGACTCGAATCAAATTAATCCCCAATTTAATTCCATATAAATGGCTGGTTATTTATAAAGGGAAGACGGATGCGAGGAT